TTTTAGCTGCTTCACTTACAGCTTTATTCTCTTCCTTCGGAATGCCAAATGTAAACTGTGCCATACCACTATTCTGTTGTCCACTACCAAATTTAAATCCGTTCAAGGGAGATGTTGTGTCAGATTTAGATTGATTGTCAGATTTATCTATACCAAACTTAAATCCACTTGGTTGATTAGTTAAGTTTGTTGTACCAGACGATACACCAAACTTAAACTGCAAGGTAGAACCACTCGATGAAGATTCGTTTAATTTTACAGTACCAGGTTTCGAAGCTTGACAAGCTACACATTCCGTATGTTTTGCGTCATTTTGTAGCAAGCATGAATCGCAAGTCCACGCACCTTCTGGTTTCTTAAATTTGTCTCCAAACCCATTACTTGAAGTCTGTTCCACTTTGCTCGATTCTCCAATGGAATTAGGTTTAGGTGTGCTGCAGCAAGGACAGGTGGTAACAGAACTGTTATTTCTAACAAGACATCCTGAACACTCCCAGGAATCTTTGCTTGGTTTAAATTTGTTCATTATTTCGGAATTTAATATTTCTTTCGTTGCCGTGACTTCTGTACTAGTGTTTAACTTTTGCGCAGATGACTCGGTGACATTATCCGTTGTTTTCGGTTTTGTTTTTACAGAAGTAGGTTTAGACGTATTGCAACAAGGACATGTAATAACGTTCGCGGCGTTTCTTAGTAAACAACCGGAGCACTCCCATGATCCTTCGGCTGGTTTAAACTTATCCATTAGATCAAAATTTTGAGATTTAACAGTTTGTTGCATCGCAGAACTACTTCCTGGTTTTGGTGTAGTGCATGCTACACACGTGATATCACTCTGCTTGTTTCTTACGCAGCAAGTCGTACACTCCCATTGATTCGTAGATAGTTTAAACTGAGATCCGAAACAATCGGGCTCAATTGGCTTTGTTTCCACAACTGTATCTGTTGTCGACGTTGAGGGCAACAAAGTTTTATCATTAGAATTGAACCGAGGCATTTTACATGCAGTACATTGTTTATCTGTACCATTGTTTCTAATCATACATTCACTACACTCCCAAGATGACTCTTTATCGTGCGTACTTGTAATATCAGAATCTGAACTGATAGTTTTGTCAGTGTGTGTCATTTCAGAAGCCAATCCCGAGTTTGTCTGTCCAATTAAATTAGATTCTATTTTACTAGATTTGGAAAATACATCCATAACACTTCCCGATTTCAATTCCTGCGGCAGCATAGACACGTTTTTTGCTTTTGCTTTTAATCTGGGTGCTGTGGATGAGCCACTCCAAATGAAATTTGGTACGGATGTTACCGCACAATCAACAGTAAATTCCTTCTCTGTTAATGAACGTGAATCAGTCGAATTATTCGCGCAGTCTTCAGCGTTGAGTGGATTACTAAAAGTGAAATTGTTGACAGACTGCAAACTTTTCCCAGCATCTGTTACTTTAATAGGGCTAGCAAATGTAAAAGAGTTTTCCTTATTTGCTATAGTTTTGCCTGCGGAATGTGAAGCAGGGGGTGGTAGAGTGAAATTGAAATTAGGTAACGTTGTTATTGGCAGAGGTATGTTTGGCAAATTTACAGGCGCCACCGTTTCTTCTTGCTCTAAATTTATTTTAGATTTGCCCTTTAACTTGCCGCGGTACTTTTCACTATCGGTATCCTCCGTCCTAAAAAAAATTTTAAATATTATTTATCTTTGAAAAATAGGGATGTGTATATTTATAACAAAACTACATTTGGTAAACATACCTCAGCCGATATTCTTGCGGAGACGGAGGTGGATCGCTACGAGCGGAAACGATCTTTCTAGCCATAAGAGTTGTATCTTGTAACTTTTGTCTTCGTCGTAATTTCAATATATCGGGGACGGTTGGTACTGTTAATTCACGCGTCAAATGACGCAGACCAATTCTAGCAGATGGATTTGGTATCTCTTCTCGTGTTCTTTTCCTGTTCACTGAAGACACAGCATTACTTGAGTTTTTTAACGGGATTTTTTTCGCGTCGGATACAGGTGAAGAAAAATGTTCTAATGCTTCCAATATCTTTTTGGCGGTTTGACTCATCCCCGATGAATCAACTCCTACTGCATCAGAAGGTTTAACTTCAACATTTGTTCTCCTTGGTACTTTAAGTTGTATCTAAAATAAATATATAATCCAGAGTGTAATTCATTATGTCAATAACACTCTCTCTCTCTCTCTCTCTCTCTCGTTATATAATTGTTTAAAATAATTCAAGTTCACACGAAGGAACGAAACTTCTCTAAGAAAAAATCAAGATACGTACCTCGTTTGAATTGTTAAAAATATTACGACTTCGTTTATAAAGACCTGCTGCATTTGCACCCCCAAAAGTAATATTACCACTATAAAAAGGAGAAGATAGCAGAGATGCACGATCTGCAGCATTTGTTATAATTGATGCGTTAAAACTCGGTCTACGACTGCTTAAAGAATCGCGAGAATTACTGTCTAGAAACAAGGACCTTGGAGATTGTAAATGATTAGCTGAAACAAAAAGATAATACTTGTACAATACATGTATTGACATTTAAATATTCTTTAAAAATAACAATTTTCAACCAAGTACAAAATATAAGTAATTTAATTAACACATTTAATTAATCTTTACGGGACAGGGAAAGCCATATATAGTGTCGCTGAAACAATATTATTTGAGGCAAGAAATACAATGAAAAATATGAATTAACAAATCTTACTCAAGAGAAAGCTGTAAGATTAAAAAAAAATCACTGTCCTCTAAAGATTAACCAATTTAATATCACATATTTATTAACTTTTAGACAATATACGATTTATACTCACTAAATGTCAATTTATCATCAAGATGCCTCTTCCTACTAGTAAATGTTGAACTGTACAACAAGTTTGATGGGCCTTCATGCCTATTTATTTGTGGAATAAGCGAACTGCATCCACTAGTACTTTCACTGGATTCCGAATTATCATCCATTCCATTTGCTATTCCATTATTAGTCGAAGTTAATGAATTTAAGTCAGACCTATGAGACGTTACAGTCCTAATGTCTGCTTGCACCGCAGGAGTAGAGGACATTAAACGACCTATTCCACTTGGTCCAGCTGTTGCAAAATCTTCCGCCTGTAAATAAGTTCTAATAAGCAAAGTTCAACTATCTCTAAATATTTCGTCAAATAAATTCGTTCAGTTACCATTTCATTATGAATGGGATACTGCTCTTTAGAGGATTCAACTGTATTCAAAGCAGTTTTAACTCTCGTTTGTATAGAAAATGTACCAGGTGGATGAATCACATCCATACGAATACGCGATCGTTTGCTAGGAGGTTGCTGCACATCATCCTCAAGCTCTGTCTCTTCAATATTCCTTGTATTTTCTAACGCATCCTCATTACTTTGAGAGGTATTGAACCACTTACTAATCCATGAGGACTGTGGTATAAAATCTGTCACCTTGGTTGCCATTTTTCTTACAAATGACTGTAAAGAATATAAATAAATTATATAGGAATATATGTATATTAATGTAAATTTATATAACCAATATTATAACATTTATATCGTAATTGTTGATATTTCCTTTAACATTAGACTCAAACATATCACAAGTAACGTAAAAATATATCAAAATATTCGAATTCTACAAGATTTAAAATATTTTTAAATAAAAGCAAATAGCAAAAATCTTACAAATTTGATGTAAAAATAACATCACGCTGTAGATTTTACCGAGTTTGCACTTTTCATTTGATTAGATCATAAGCATAAATATATTTTTAAAGCTACAGTTTAAATCGCGTTACCGCATAACGTAACCGCAAAGATTCGCGCGAAGACCTACGCAGAGCGCGCGATGCTCGGCAAGGGGGGACGCGAGTAAGAGAGAAAGAGAAAGAGAAAGAGACGCACAGAGGAATACAATCCGCGTTTCTTAAACTCCCGGAGGCTTATATGAACGGATGGGTGCACACCTCCGAGTCGCGCTTCAGTGGTTGCCGTTCGTCGAAGTCGTTTCATGACGGTTCGTGCGCGACACGCGAGACACGGGGAGGGAATTGAGGTTATCATCGGGCTCACTCACATAACCGTGACACTGTGGACATTGCGCGAGGGTACCACGTCGTAGGGAAAGGGCGGGCATGCGGGACATCATGCGACGAGGAGTCGGCGTTCGTCCTCGGTCCGATCGCCGTGCTACCCTGACGGCGAAAGGGCGCGTGAAGGGCGCGGGGCCTATCTCTGTCACGGGTACGGGCACGCTCGCGCTGCGGCGGTCGCCCGTCGTGATGACGAGGTGGCTACTCACGTTGTTCGCGTCGTAGGGCTTCGCATTGCGCGACGACGGCCGCCTGCCGGCCGGATTGCCGCCTTCTCTGGGCATGATTAGCCGTTCTCACTCCCTGCACTCGTCGCTGTACGACGACCGTTATGAAACGCACACGCGCGTCGCAACCATCGCCTCCCTGGAAATTCGGTCACCGCCGGAACCGCGCACCACCTTTCCTACCTCCTACAGACGAGAGAGAGCCACGAGAGGGAATATGGCCGCGCTCCGATCACGAAGACCGCCACCGGGGCGCCAGTAGGCTTCCTTCAAATCGCGCTTGACTGCGCGTGCTCTGCTCACGTGACGCGCGCATGGCACGCTCCCGTCGAGTCCGACCAATCGGAGGAACGAGACTGGACTTTTTGCTTCTCTCGCACTTGACGTATTATGAACGTATTTTCAGAAAAGAAACTTCGACAATATAAAGAAACTTAGGATGCATCCAGATGCGCGACCAGCTCAGGGAGCTCTTTTACCTGATTGATTATTTTAGAATTTAACAGAATATACCAATCAGATAAAGAGCTCACCAGTGTCGCTTGTTGGAAAGCTCCCTGCTACCATTAGTGGGTAGTTGTTAGTAGTTAGTGTAACCGTTGCAATCAGTAGTGTCAGCACTGTTGATAGTTTGCCACGATTTGACGCGGTTAGCGTTAGTACAGGTATAACAGTCAAGTGCAGTGTAATTCGTATATAGCGTAGTATTTTGCCTTATTTGAGAAAGGTTTGTAAATAATAATATTCTTCAATTTATTAGTAATGACTCTTACAGAGAAATATTTCTCTTATTTGGAACCTTGTGATACATTTGGAAGTAAAGAACTTGTATAAAGATGTTCACTATTTTATGAATATACACAAGTATAAAATCTTCTCTTTTTAGTTTAAACTTCTCCACGATTTATCTTTCTTATCTTTCTCTCCATGTTGAAGAAAGAAAAGAAATTTACAAGACGTTTAACTAGAAAGAATAGATTTCTAATCTACTTAAATGATTATTTATAAGAAAGACTAATAAATAATTGTATTTTTATATGTATAATTTTATTTAAATTATACATGTAAGAATACAATTGTATTATTTGAAATGACAAAAAGTTCTTTGAATTTATGGTTTATATCTTGAAATTTTAGAAAACTATGCAAACATACATATTGTATATGCATTAATATATTAGTGTCTAATACAATTAATGTATAGATGGAGACTGATTACGATGATGATCGTGGTGGTTGGCGAGACGAGAGGAATCGGAGTACTGATGAATGTAGTGGCGAAGATACATTCGATAATCCACAGGAAGTATTGAATGAATGCTTGGATAAGTTCAAAACAGCTGATTATATTATGGAGCCTGGCATTTTTGCCCAACTTAAAAGATACTTTCAAGCTGGAGGCAATCCTGAACAAGTTATAGAATTGTTGTCCAAAAATTATACAGCTTGTGCACAGATGGCGAACCTTCTTGCAGAATGGTTGATTCTTGCTGGAGTAAAAGTCACTGACGTGCAAGCGATGGTTGAAAATAATTTGAAAGATATGATACTTAAAAATTTTGATCCTAAAAAAGCAGACAAGATTTTTACGGAAGAGGGTGAAACTCCTGCCTGGTTAACTGAAATGATACAACATCCTACCTGGCGATCCCTTATTTATAGGCTTGCAGAGGAATACCCAGACTGCTTAATGTTAAACTTTACTATCAAACTTATATCTGATGCTGGGTTCCAAGGAGAAATTACAAGCATTTCAACTGCAGCTCAGCAAATTGAGGTCTTCTCACGCGTATTAAAGACCGCAATTGCTGGATTTCTTCAAAATACAGAAAACTGGCAGTCTAGCATACAAGAGTGTGCAAAAATGGTGTGTCATGGTCAACACACTTATGTATACAGTCAAGTTTTGTTGCAAATCCTTGCGCAAGAATCCCGCGGTGGTTTCATGATGAAAAGACTTTCCCAAGAAATCACCAAGTGCGCACAACAAGATCGACATGATGTTACACCGATAACAATGGCCTTGAATGGTGCTGCTAGCAGTCCTGGAGCATGTCAAGCACTAGCATCCATGTTATCAAGAAACAGCTTAAATCCCGCTGATATTACAGTCTTATTTAGAAATTATTCCACAACGGAGTCACCTCCTATTGAACTGTTGCGCAATCCACAATTTTTAGGTAAATTAAAACTATTTATAATAATAAGAATTTCAGTTTTCTTCCTTTTTGTACTGGTAAAAATATCATAATTCATAATAAAATCAATATATTATTTTATAAGTTACTTTGATTTAGTTATTTATTTTACAATGACTAACGTTTACACGTTATCATTAATCGGATTTTATATTAGCTAATTCAGTTCTTTAATATCTTAGGAAAGCTAATTGGCTTAATGAAACAGCAGATGCTTGTTAAGAGGAAAACCTGGATTCAATTTTTAGTTTTACCTCTGCATATAATATAAAAAATGTTAATTCGAAAAATATTCCATGACTATGTTTACATGACACCATTAATTATGTTTATAACATTAGTAGTTATTAATTACTGATGTAAAATGTTATATAAACGCCAATTAAATCCAATTTTATGATATAAAATTGAATTTTATTAGTGTTTATACATTTTACATCAGTAGTTAATAATTATGGATGCTATTAAATGATGATGTATATCATAATTAATGGAATATTTTTCTAATTATTAACATTTCTTGTATTATATGTAGAGGTAGGACTAAGAATCAGATCTAGATCCAGATCTTTCCCTTGACAATCTACTGCTCCATTAAGCCATTCAGTTTTCCTAAGAAATCAAAGAATTGAACTTGCTATAATGAAATTTTGTGTATTCTTTCTTGCAGAATTACTGGTCGATGCGCTTTTTAAACCTGGCGTAAAGATAAATCCTGAACACAAATCAAAATATATATATTTACTAGCTTATGCAGCAAGTGTATGTGAAACAATCCCTAAAAAAAGCAATATCCGCAAAATTAATAAGGATGAGTTGAAAACGACTATTCAGGCAATTGAGAAAGTGCATAATATATGTAATGTAAATAAAGGCTCGACGGAGCTAATAGCAGAGTTGCACACTTTGTATCAATGCATACGGTAACTATTGATTTCGGATATTTTTTTTCCATGTCAGAGAAAAAAACATTTTTACTAATAAATTCCAGATTTCCTGTTGTAAGCGTGGGTATAATACGATGGGTAGAGTGCACTGTGACTGAACCATCATACTTCAAATTATGTACAGAGCATTGCCCTGTACACCTCGCTTTATTGGACGAGGTTGTAGCTTGCCATCCTTTGTTGCATCCAAAAATACTAAGATTACTTGTGCACTTGTTTGAAAGCAAACAAGACGAATTAGAGATACTTGTACAAGTAAGCATATTTCATGTAGTATCAATTAAAAGATAAAATTATCGATATTTTATGTGAATAATTTTTTTCTATGTCTATAGCTGGAAATGAAAAAGATGTTAATCGATAGAATGGTGAATTTACTAAGCAGAGGCTGCGTAGTACCAGTTGTATGCTATATTAAGCAATGTTGGCAACGTGGAGATACAGATGTATCTTTAATCAGATACTTCGTTACTGAGGTATATTACAATACCGTTTTTTAATAGGTTATTATATCGATATTTTACGACGTAGACATTTATAATGCTAGGTCTTGGAAGCGATAGCCCCTCCATATACAGCTGAATTTATACAATTATTTTTGCCAATGGTCGAAAATGAAGAGATTACTGGAACTATGCGTGGAGAGAATGAGAACGATCTAGTTTCTGAATTTATTAGTAAGTATGATGTTAAAAAATTACTAGTAATACTTTTTGTCATAAAAAATAAATGTATCTTATTTTTTAGTTCACTGTAAGACACACTGTCCTGTTGTAAGATGACGGTATAAAAATTAATCATGGGGAGGACAAATCAAAGAAAAGTGACAGTGTGAAGAATATTTTTATTTTGTATAGAGATGGAGATCTTCATATATACTTATGGCTATAAATGTATACTGGATGAATGCTGCATCCATCTGTGATATTGTCTAAGCATTTTCTGTAACAAAAATATTTGTATATATATATATATATATAATCAATATCATATATGAATATTATAAATTTTAAAGAGGATAAGATTTATTAATAAACATAAAGATAAAATGTTAATTGGCTTTAAAGAAGAATTTTAATCATTGTTACATTTATAAGGTCATATCTATTCAAACAATATCTTGTAACATAAAGAATAAATATTGAGTACAAGAACATTTCTTTCGTGCTGTTAGTATATTATTTAAAATTATGAAATATGGATGACATACGGAGAATAATTGTTAGATCCTTTTATACACACAGTGAGAAATAACACAGATATCGAATCAATGTCAAATTGATAATTTTGGTGTTAATCAACATGTAATTAGTCATTTCTTGCTGAGTAAAAGGTAACGGAAAAAACTGCTATTATATACAATCAAGTGCAAAAGCAAATAAATGCTTTCTAAAATAAGTTGTCACACCTGCATTAAAAACTTAATATTAAAGACACTATTAAAACAAAAAACATTTTTCTAATAAGAGATTCCTAACATTCACTTACTGATCATTACGATCACATCTTTTCAGCTGTAACAAAATATATTGTACGTATAACTAAAATATAATAAAAGAATAAAGAGTATATAAATTCTACAAAGTATAAGTGTCTAAAGAAAGAAATAGTGGCAGAAATGATACGATATAAATGATGACAGAATAGAATCGTTGCAACGATTACATTTCTCTTCATTAATATGAATTTGAGAATGAAATAATAAATTTGAAGGCATACATACTGATGGGTTTCCCATCTTTCCATTCAGTAAACTTCACATTGACTTCGTCGCGTTTAGCAGCCTCTACCCTCAAGTCGGCTTTCAAGGCTTGCCTGACTAACCTAGCTGCAATTTGAGAGTAGTTGATGTAACTGTAACAAGATAAAGGGATAGAAAATTCGTATAAGTATATATTCTCCTTTTAAAATATTTCGTTATCCACAAGTAACAATTAACATTGAACAAAAAAGAAATTTTACGTTGATTAACGATCAGATGACAATTCGATTACATAATTCGATTCTAATGTGTAAAATTATATCATATACTTGACATATATTAAGAAAAAAAATGTAAAATACGGAGGATGATAATAATTTCCTTACTTTAATCCTGCCTGTCTCCACGCTGACATTTTTTTCGATTAATTATATTCGGTAAAGGTCGAGAATTTTAACAAACAACACACTGCAACACACGACAGATTGCAGTGCCAACTGTAGCAAATGCATGTACTATTGTGTTAGAACTGTGTGGGGGGAGGATCCCGTTTGCCTACAGTTCTGATTGTACACACCACTCATATCAACTGGTGCCTAGTAATTTTTCAATGTTTTGCCAATGAGATTATTTTATTTTTAAATTGGCCAATCAGCGATACATGTGTGCAATATGCGATGTGTGCAATCGGAGCCCTCCCCTGTGTGGGATAGAATTATTAATCTATATTGTTATTTAATATACGAAGAAAAGATTAGATAGAAATAAAAATTTTGCCTTAAACAATTTCACTTAAATTATAATTATTGTAGTAGATTAATAGATAGATATATATTAACTTTAATCTCGGTTTAATTTATTCTCTTTATTATGTCCTAATTTTTAGAATTAGGAAAAGATAAAAAGACAAAAATTGATAGAAATGAACGTATAATTTACTAATATTAAATTAATCAAAATACGTTACTTTATTGATTCGAATTCTAAGAAAAAAATGCCAATGAACAGTCTAAATCTGATATACATTGTTTTATCTTTAATACATGATTATTTTATTACAAAAATAATAAGTAACAATAAAAAAAATTTAGATATTATAATGAAAATGCAGATTCAACGGAAAGCGTCCAAATTCTTTTTTCTCTGCTTTTTAACTGCTGAGAGAAGTGTGCTAGAAGAAATAAGAAATAACGATTTCAACCTATCAGAAACCGTGTTGTGGACATCAATTCCGATGTGTCCGATTTTTAATAGTTCGAAATCGTTATTCCTTAAGTCCATTCTACATTAGACGCAAGCCGATCTCAAGTTTGTTGCGACAGCCAATCTTAAGGCCCGTCTACAATA